ACACAGCAAATTTGATTTGATTGGTTTGCACAGTCTCCAGTTTTCACGTGTGGACACACAAATCTGTTTTTATCTCTGTGAATCAATAAAAACAGACCAGAGCTGGAGATGCCTCTTTATGCAATACAGTGATGCCTCACTGTAACGCAGATCACTTTTCGGTTATTTGTTTTTGTGTGTGTGTGTGCAATTTTGCATGCTTTTTTTGTTTTTTTTTGTTAGCACATTGTGTTCTGCGTCCTGATTGGCTCTAGACCATTGTCAATCAATCTCATGTTGTGTCTCCTGCACAGTACAGAAAGCGTTCACTTTGTCAAATTTATCTAAAATCTTTGATCGCTAGCAGTGTGACTCTGAAGTGCTGTACTGTATGTTTGTAAGTTTTCTCCCCAACAAACACAACAATGTCCACAAAACATTTTGCAGCTTCAAAGACACCTGCAGGTTCCTTAAGTTCATAATACTGGACTTATTTTTCTACAAAGGTTTGAACTTTGAGAGTGTTTAAACAAGAGAGAAAAGTGTGAAAATGTTCGAGCCTGTCTGAGAAAAGTGTATAACGTGTGTAGCGAAGCGTTTTACAGCCTTAAAACATCTATAACAACTGTAAAAAATAAAGGTGGCTACTTCGCAGATTTCACCTACCGCTGGTTATTTTTGGAACGCAACTCCCGTGATAAACGAGGGGCTGCTGTATAACACTGACTAACACGTTCTTATATTTCTCTCTCCTACAGCAATGGACAAAAGTTTTGTTAGGTGGTGTTTGACACACTCAATCACATTAAGATCTGGGGATGAATCCAAAATGTTCATTCGATGATCTCTGTGTCACTTGGTTGGACCTAGGGGTGTGTTTTTATAATCGATTTATCGATTAAAATCGATTCTGGCTTGGATAACGTGAAATCGATTCATTAAAATCCTGAATCAATTTTTTAATTTTTATTTTGCCCGAAAAGCCAGAATCTCAGGTTAAACCTCACAAAATTTCAACAACCACCCAACAGCTAAGACAGTAAATGAGAGCAGGAACACGGATTCTGCACAAAGACGTAAACACAGCGGGACCCACGGATCAGAATCAGTGAGATGGCGCCTTTCTCACCTGACAGCACGGACACGGTCGAGGCTGAAAGCCGACAGCTCGCTGATTCTGATCTGTCGGCGGGTCCGCGCTTTGTGTTTACGCCATTTTTGCGCCAATTCTAAAGTTGTTATTTTGATGTCTCTCCAAACAATATTGACCGAACCAGCAGCAAAAGAAGATCCAAACTACGCTTCACATAAACATC